CCAACCTCAGCTACACAATTGTGCCTGGTGGTGGATAAAATCGCTCCCTCCACTCACCAGGATCCATCACTGCGCCGCCTCGATCAAGATAAAACATAAATAAAATTAAAACTACCGCCATTCTTATACGCAGCGTAACTCTTACGTACACGAGTATCTTGCACCAAAAACTTTAATGTTACTTGCATTCCCTGAAAAACGCTCATCTAAAAAACTACAAACACTCACTTTTCAAATCGGTCAGCGATGGGGGACGTCGGCGTACCGCTTGTTATCTCTGCTGTTCTACGCTGCTTTAAAACCATGCATGCAGAATATCTTGAGTATTAAACGTAAAGATTATTTTTAATCCTTTTTTTAACCGTTTTCATCGGTTACAACGGGAGCTGGATGCGGGGTCACAGGTCACTGCAGCTAGCTGTTGCTAGCCGTGGGCCTCAGGCCTCCTCTCGGACCCCAGGTCCGCCCCCAGCTCACGCTGTTCCCCCAGCTCGCACCTCCCTCAGAAGCGGCAACTCACACTATCAATAAATCAAGGAAACGTGAGTTCACTTTTACCAATTGTGTTAAAATCAAGGCAGGAAAAGGTTACAGTTTACAGCGCTGGCCGGTTCCGGTGCACGATTCGAGATCAGGAGCCAGAAGGGGCGGGTGTCCCATCGCATTCCAGATTTATAGGGCCTAGACTCCTCCTCCACAGAAAGGGAGCACAACCTGTCACGTGTACGAGGGGGAGTGACTAAGTGTGATCTCAAGGGATCTTAACTGGTTTAACGTGAAGGAAACAATGAGGCGGTGCTTCAAAAGCCTTTCTACGTGATGTAGCGAGCAAATGTATGAATATCGAATCCCTGGGAGACTCTTTTTAGAGTTGCTGGCCCCATTCAAACCAGTCAGAACCAGGTCATAATTTCATTATAATCCCGTCTCTGAGCAGATCAAAAACCCAGGGTCAGTCTAGATAAAAAATACTACACATCTCTCAATAAACTGATGAGCACCTCTGCCCCCCACCTCACCCCCACTTCCACCTCCCATCCCTCCTGCTATTTGTCAGAGTTTCTTTATTTTTCATTCCACTACATGTGGTGCATGTGGTGGAATGAAATTGTGTACACAGGGTCCCAGTTACATCCAACAGTAAAATGTAAAAGAAAAACGTTAATAAGATCTAAGATATGAACCAAGAAAAACACCAACTAAAAATAAGCTAAACACTAGTAGCATAAAAACAATAAACACAATACACCGAACAGCAGCACGAACATGAGTCTGTGTGAGCAGATGAGCACGCATGAACACAGCAACATGAAACGGATCAGCAGCAACATGAAACAGATCTGCAGCAACATGAAACAGATCAGCAGCAACATGATGTGATTTTTCACAGTGATTATTCTGGTTAGAGATTCATGAGTCTAACAGCCTCAGGGTAGAAGCTGTTCCTCAGTCTAGTGGTTTTACACGTAATGCTCCTCAACCTCCTTCCTGAGGGGAGCGGGGCAAAAAGTGTGTGTGCTGGGTGAGTGAGGTCCTTCATGATGCAGGTGGCTCTCTTCCTGCATCTAGAGATGTAG